CGGCCCCCACATGCTGCACACACCCGGGCCTGCGCGGCCCCCACATGCTGCACACACCCGGACCTGCACAGCCCCCACACAGGCCTGGCCCTCACCTTCTCTGGGGACCAATCCACCCACTAGATGGCAGCACCCCCGGACAGCTGGTCAACCCAAAGCCGCAGTCGTGCTCAGCGCTTGCAGGAGCAGAAACACAGCCTCCCTCCTCCATGCTTGGTGGGAGCAGCGTTCAAAAACAATGCATTGTGAAACTTACTGCTTTAACCGTTCTTAGGCACACAGCGCCGTGTCATTAAGCACATTCACATCGTCAGTAACGATCGCCGCCGTCCATCGTCCCAAACTGTCCCCTGTCCCCGTGAAAGACTAGCCCTCCTCGTCCTCCCCCAGCCCCTGGCACGACCCGCTTCCTGTGTGTGAGAATTTGTGACTCTAGGGACCTCCTGTAGGGAGGAACCGTACAGGCTTTGTCCTTCAGTGCCTGGCTTATGTCACTGAGCGTCGCGTCACGGTCCTCCGGGTCCATCGACGTTGTCGCAGGCGTCAGAATGTCCCTCCTTTTCATGGCTGCGTGATATTCCCTTGTCTGTGTGGACCCCGTTTTCTTTATCCATCTGTCTGTGCATGGATGGACGCTGGGCGGCTCCCGCCTCCCGGCGACTGTGCACAACGCCGCGGTGACACAGGTGGCCAGCGTGTCTTCGATGGCTCCTTTCCATTCTCTCGAGGTCCTCTTTGCCGCCTGTGAGCTGGGAGTGTTTGACCTGCTCGCCGAGGCCCCGGAGCCCCTGGGCTCGGCTGCAGTGGCCGCACGTCTGGGCGCCAGCGCCCGGGGGACACAGCTGCTGCTGGACGCCTGTGTGTCCCTGAAGCTGCTTGAGGCAGAAACGAGAGGAGGACAAGGTAAGCTCCCCGGGCACTTTGAAGGAGGCATTTGACCCGTGCGTGGTCAGCACGCTTTTTCTGTAAAGGGCCCGAAAGTGAGCATTTCCAGCGTCGTGGGGCGTGTGCTCTGTGCAGCAGCTTTGCGTCTCTGCCCGTGGAGCCCCCACGGCAGCCAGAGACAGTATGTGAACGAACAGGTGTGGCTGGCTCCCAATAAAGCTTTATTGACAAGAGCAGGCCGAGGGCCAGACTGCCGTGTGCAGTGAACAAGACACAAACGTGAGAAAAAACATAACGAGTAGTTTTCCATCACGCTTAAATGTATTCAAGGGTTGCCGTTTCTTATGAGATTGTGTTGTTCTTATTTTGGTGTGGAAGTGGCTTTTCTCTTCGGGAACAGGGTGACCGTCCTTTGGTTTTTTTTTTTTTATTAAATGTCTTTCCTTTGCAAAATTCAAATGTGTTCACCCCACGTTGAGCGTTTAGGTCATCTTTAGAATTTTGTCCATCTGTGAAATTGCAAAGATGGGAAGGCTTGGCTTAGGCTGCTGCAGAAAGCACAGGCGTGTGCGGCCCAGCTGTGTGGGTGCTGGGTGCTGGGCTGTTGGTTTGCAGCAAGCAGCCATGTGCCTGCTGGGGTTCTGGGGCGCAAAGGTGGGGACCGTTAATTCCATCCATCAGGCGTCATTTGGAAGGTGACAGTTCTCAGATAGCCGGACTGCAGATTGGCTCAAACCGCACCGGCCAGGCCATCTACAGCCACAGCAGACCAGCACCGAATGGCCACCCACCCCCAACAGACACTGCAGGCGACGCTGCTTGGGCCAGCATCCAGCGCAAAGGGGCAGATGTCACAGACGCTTTTGCTGGGCCCCTGTCCTGGGGGGAACCCCTGTCCTGTCAAACACTCCGTCCAGGCTGGGAGGACATGGGAAAGCATGCAGGACGGGGGGTGGGGGGCTCCCAGACGCTTGGCTGGGAGGCAGCTGCACAGTGTATCCCGGCTGTGGGTTCTGCTTCGGGGCCACGTGAGACCCGCAGGCACTGGGCAGCTGTGACAATGTTTGGAGATGGCTGCAGGACAGGCCTTGTTGTCCACGAGCGGGGCAGGCTCGTTGGCAGGATGCTACCCCTGGAACAGGACCGCAGGGGCTGCCGTGCGGAGCACCAAGCCTGTGGGAGATGGTCCCTAGGCGGGGGACACGGGTGAGGCTCGGGCGCTGCAGTGGCCCTTTGCTGTGTGGCCCTTGGCGGCCCAGGTACCTCTCTGGGCAGGACGAGGTCCCTGGGTGGGGACGGGGATGGGCACGCTCACAGCCAGGGCACCTGCTGCCTGCCGTTCAGGGCTGTGTGCCCTCCTGCCTGGCACTGTGACGTGTGGCACCTGCCCAGGCGGGGCCACCTGCCGCTTAGCCGCAGTCGGCAGGAAAGCAGCCCTTTCTCCTCGCGTTCCTTTCCTTTTCCAAATTGGAATGTCATCCCCATGTCCCTATTGTGAAGGAAGTGGTTATTTGAAAGTGCACAGACTCTAATACAGGTTTCCTGTCAGGCTCAGCTGGCCTGTCTACCTGCTTCTCCAGGCCTCCCAGTGGGGCTCGGCTTGGGGACCTGCCCACCTGTCACCCCGTTCCTTCAGGCTAAGCCCCCAGCCGTGGGGACCTCCACGCTCACAGGCGAGGCTCACACTTCAATCACGGTGGTCCCAGTGCTGGGGAGAGCAGGTGACGGTGACATGAAATGTAGCTGGTGATTTTGTTGCTGTTCTTTTTGCTTCTTTTCAGCGCTCTATGAAAACACGGAGCTGGCCAGCACCTACCTGGCCAGGAGCAGCCCCAAGTCCCAGCACCACATGCTGCTGTACCTGGGCAGGACAACTTACCTGTGCTGGGGCCACCTGGCCCAGGCCGTGAGGTGGGCCTGGTGCTGCTGGGGCTGCGGGATGTGCCGGGGGGGCTGGTGTGAGGGCGGGGAGGACGGGACAGGCCAGGGTCCCCGTGGAACCAAACACGGCACCGCGAGGTTCGGAAATCAGAGCAGGTGTTACATTGTCTCGTGTCGGCCCCTGGACTGTAAATACAGGGGAAGCGGTGCCTGCCAGGCGGCGGGGGCACGGCGGCGGGACGGAAACCGGCTGCTGCCCGAGCGGTAACTGTTCACGCCACACCAGGGTCTCTCAGCCTTGGCACCACTGATGTCTGGGGCTGATGACGCTCTGTGGGGCTGGTCAGGGTCCCTGGTCCCACCCACCAGATGCCAGGAGCGCCCCCTTCCCAGGTGTGACAACCAGAAACGTCCCAGATGTTTTCCCAGTGTCTCCTGAGGGCAGAATCACCTGCAGTTGGGGACAACTGAGATAGATAGATAGATAAATAGACAGATAGATAGATGATAGATAATAGATAGAGGATAGGTAATTAATACATAGGTATAGCTAGCTAGCTAGCTAGATGATAGAGACATAGATAGATAGATAGATGGATAGATGATAGATAGATAGATAAATAGACAGATAGATAGATGATAGATAGATAATAGATAGATGATAGATAATAGAGGATAGGTAATTAATACATAGATCTAGCTAGCTAGCTAGCTAGATGATAGAGACATAGAGAGATAGATAGATGGATAGATGATAGATAAATAGACAGATAGATAGATGATAGATAGATAATAGATAGACAGAGGATAGGTAATTAATACATAGATATAGCTAGCTAGCTAGCTAGATGACAGAGAGAGAGATAGAGGAAGAAACATAGATGATAGATAGATAGATACATAAATAGATGATAGAGACATAAACAATAGAGAGATGGATTGATAGATAGATGATAGACAGAGATAGCTAGCTAGCCACCCAGGTGATAGGGAGATAAATGATAGATGATTGATGAACAGATAAATAGGCAATAGGTCCTACATAGCGATAGCTGATAAATACGTACAGATAGATGATGGATGACGGATGGTAGATGGATAGATGACAGATGTGGACAGAGACGGAGGCGGGAGAGGCTCTGACGTGAGGCCGGGGTTCCCGAGCCTCGGCAGCCCTGACGCTTGGGACTGGACCATTCTCGGTAGCAGGTGCCCTCCACGGCGTGACACGTAGACGTGTCCCCAGACACTTGGTTTTCGTAGATGTGCCCCAGGGTGGCAGTGGGGGGGCCAGGACACAGTTGCCTGTCACTTTGAACCACTGCTCTACATTTTCTTTCTTAATTGTTTTAGCTTCAGCCACGTCTGGAGCCCACGGTAACTTTTCTGTGAAAACCCGGGACAGTTTCACTGTTGATTTTGGAAAAGATACAGCTCGTCATTTTCATGCTTATAGTCATTATTCGGATATTTACATTCCAGATCACATTCGTCTGACAGTCACCTGAGTTGAGTGTCTCTAGGGGGCCGAGGGTGGGGCTGCGGGTGGGAAAAGGCTGGGGCTCCCGTGGAAAGCGCCTGAGGGAGGCGCCCCAAGCTTGCGGACTCGCTGTGGGGACAGACGGCCAGCCCTCTAGCTGTGGGTCTGTGGGTCGACTGGTTGGCTGTCCACCTAGAAGCAGACCCGTTGGCCATCCAGCTACGAGGAGCTTCCTATCCTCAGATGCCAGGTGATCGGCCGTTCTGGACTGCGGTGGCCCGGATGGCGAACATTTCCCCCACGTTCTTTACATTGCCGTTAAGTTGCATTCCTCCTTTGCTCCTGCCAGGGGACCACGCTAGGCGGGGGCCTTGCAGCTCCGAACACGTGTTTATTTCTCTCTGGAAAGGAGCCCGTGCGTGTGCTTGGCCACGTAACGTTGCTTCCTGCGTGCTCCATCTGTGATTTGACGGGAGGACCTGAGACCGCACGTGGGTGTTCACCGATGTTCAGTGACTGTCTAAGAACTTGAGTGACAGCCTCTTGTCTGTTTTCAGAGAAGGGAAGAACCAGTATCTGAAGGCATTTGGGGTTCCCTCGGAAGAGCTCTTCACAGCCATCTACAGGTACTGCCAAGCCCCGACTCCGATAGCGTGACGCTTATTTAAAAAAAATACTTGCCGGGCTGAATGAATGCGTCCAAATGCAGCAAAACGGAAGGGAGCTGATATTTAAAGTTGAAAAGCAAAACGAAACAAGAACATGTCGCTGCTCCGATGTCTGTGTAGGTCCGTTTCCTGAGCAGACGCGGATTTGCCTTTCAGTACATAGGTATAGCTAGGTGTCAATGGATGATAGATAGAGGTATAAGGGATAGACAGCTAGATAGATGGTTGACATGCAGATAGATGGATAGATGCAGCTAGTTGATTTATGTCGATGGATAAGTAGATGGATGGATGGATGGATTGAGAGCGAGAGAGAGGGAGAGAGAGAGAGATTAAGTCTGTAATGCTAAGAGACGCTTTCTCAACGTCGCCGTTACTGACACTTGGGGCTGGGTGACCGTGCCTCTGCCCTGGGGTCCGCGTTGTCCTCCGCTGAGACCACATCCACATGGCCGGCCCATGAGCCGGGACAGAGGAGGGGGGACTGTGAGGAGGGGGACGAACCCCACACGCCCACAGGGCCGTCTGGCCACCCATCCGGCCACCCTCCTCACTTCTGCCCCCTTCCAGGACCCCTCGCCCCCCTGTAACGTCTTCCCCGGCTCCGTGAACCCCCAGCCCGTGTGGGGACCCCCCTCCCGGACCTGCAGAGGGGGGCAGACGATCCTGCACTCTGCCGGGTGGGGTGCGGGGGCCCCGGCTTGACTTCCCTGATGAGGAAGCACGGGGCCTGCTGGTTGTGATGTGGGGACGCCCTCTCCTCGTGGCTTGGGGAGCTGGGGGTGGGCTGGCGGCGGACCCAGGGCGCTTGGCATCTGCAGCGAGACCTTTCCTCAGCGTCCCCGACCCCCTGTCGCCGTGCGTGCCTGTGGGCCACGCGTCCTTGTGCCCGATGACCGCCCTGGACGTGGCCTGCTTTTCACCAGCGCGGCTTCCCGTGCCAGGTCGGAGGGCGAGCGGCTGCAGTTCATGCGAGGCCTGCAGGCCGTGTGGAGTGTCCACGGCCGGCGCGTGATGGCCGCCTTTGACCTGTCCCCGTTCCCTGTCGTCTGCGACCTCGGCGGTGAGTCTCGCGTCCCGATGTCGGCGCTGCGTTCCGGTTCTGTGTGGGCAGCACCTCGCCCCAGGCTGAACGGTGCCCCGTAAGCTCCTGCAGGAAGGAAACCGAACCCCCGTTTCCCACCGTGGGGAGGGTCTTCCTGTCACACCCTCATGGCCGGTGGCCAGCTGCTGTGTCAGGGTGGCTGCTTTGGGGACTGGCACCCTCCTCGGCCGCCCCTCAGCTGCTGGGAAGCCATTCGCAGAGCCGCTGAGCTGGCACGTGTCCTGGCACCTTCCCTGTGGAGGCAAAATACTGTCTGAGTCTGCGGGCATCAGGCCAGTTTGGGGGACTCGGGGCGGGGGTGGCAGATGTCACTCTTAGGAGCCTCGTGTTCTTATGCGAGTGGGGACGGGAAGGGGACCTGGCCGAGGCTTGAGCATCTTGTGTGAGTCCCACGCCGGGCACGGGAGGCCCTAGAACACCTCGGGGTTGGGTGGCTGTTCTCCCTTCCTGCCTGACAGGATCGGAATGGGGGGTTCAGTGGAGGTGGGCCGCCCCTTGGTCTGTATTAAGCAGGTCCACTTGCCGCCCACACCTCCCTGGCTGCCTTGCTGTAGAGAAGGCACAGAGAACATGAGCCCCTGACAGGAGAGGACTTGGGGTGCAGAATACCTGCCCGGTGCACCTGCTGGGGTAGCGCCAGCCCGAGGTGGTCCTCCCAAATTCGGGGTCCTCCACCCTTGAACCAAGTAAACGATGAACTGCCCGTGATGAAGTCGGGGTGCAGGGCACACTCAAGAGCCCCTTGGCCCTTGGTCCCCCGATCTGAGGGGCTCCCCCAAACCCTGTAAGACGGTGGCACAAGGAGACAGGACTCCCTGAGGGGGACCCTCCCTGGCCAATGTCATTCCTTCCACTCTGCACCGGCCTCCGGTGCCCCAGCAGGGAGGGTTGTCCCTGGATTCCAAAGTGGCTTCTGTCCCTTGCTTGCTACGTGGCCCCGGGCGGGGGAGGCGTCTCTCTGTGCCTCAGTTTCCCTGGGAAATGGGGGTAAATGCCACAAACTGTGTGGATCGGTCAGAGCCCCTCCTGTGGCGCAGGGGGTCTCCCTGCGGAAGGGGCGGCGTCCCCACGGTCACGGTTTCTGTACAGAAGAGCAGAAGGCAGAGGTGCCCTCCCTGGGGGCAGCTGGGGCGTGAAAATGCTGGATGGGAGCCCCGGGTGGGGTCTGCGGGACCCCGGATGAGCCTGCGCTGGCCTCTCGAGCCACCTCATCAGGGTGTTCCCTGGAAAAGCCGTCCTCAGGGCGTCTGCCTGGGGCTTTCCACCCCCCCCCGCAATGTGGCTGTTTTCTGCCCTTGGGCGGGCGGACGGCCTGACCGCAGGAGGCCACGGGGAGGTCAGGGCCCAGGGCAGTCCATCCACGAAGACCGCCTGGACGCGGGCTCACAGGTGACGATGTGACCGTGGACACCACGCCCCCAGCCCTGGGCCCTCAGGGGTCGATGGTGGCCGCTCTGCCCGTCACTCTCTGTGCCCACTCCAGGCTGTGCGGGGGCTCTGGCCAAGGAGTGTGTTTCTCTGTACCCTGCATGTCACGTCACCATTTTCGACATCCCGGAGGTGGTACGAACGGCAAGGAAGCACTTCCTGTTCGGGGAGGAAGAGCCGATTAGCTTCCGTGAAGGTGGGTTTTCCTGTGCCGTGTGTGTGTCCACGGGGGCGCACAGGTGCGTCCTAGGCGCTCAGGACAGGCCGATGGTGGGCCGTCCCCATGGCTGCTTCGCCTTCCGCATAATCACCCTCAACTTACATCTATGATTCATGACGCATGGAGCTAAAGCTACATTTTCTCATAATTAACCCTTTCTTGAGTATCACAGTGGGTTGAATGCTGTCTCCTCAAAATTCGTGTCCACTCAGAATTTGTGAACGGGGCCTTGTCTGCAAACGGGGTCTGTGCGGATGGGACTGAGTGAGGGGTCTGAGAGGAGGGCTTCCTGGGTCGGGGGGCCCTGAACCCCATGACAGTGTCCTTATCAGGGACAGAAGAGGAGAGACACAGACACGGAAGGGACGCCACGTGGAGACGGAGGCAGAGATGGGGGGGAGGCGGCCACCCACCCGGGGACGCCTGGAGCCCCCAGGAGCTGGACGGGGCAGGAGGGACCGTCCCCTGGTCCCCTGGGGCCTCCGGAGGGAGCGTGGCCCTGGGACAGCGTGGCGGCAGCCTCCTGGCCTCCAGGACGGGGGGAGGATGAGTGTCTGTGGTTTAAGCCACCCGGTGGGGGGCCCTTTGTTACGACAGCCCCTACGACACTCATGCCAGTTTGTAAATCAAAACCACTCATGAATGTCAGCAAACGAAGTGGGTTGAAGGCCAGATCAGGGGTCGTTACTGACCCAGAAGACGAAGGGGACCGGGAGCCATTCGGGGCTCAGAGACCGTGGCAGCTCGGCAGAGAGCGGGGTGGCACTGCTTGCCTTTGAGTCACGGGGCTCGGGGCTCCCTCCGTGGCAGCTTCGGGGGCAGATGCAGGAAACAGCTCAGGCACCGCCCAACACACGTTCCCGCCTCCTGTTCCTTGTTGAGTTTCAGCCCCACAGGCCAGCTGATCTCACTCCCCAAATCGGCCCTGGGTTTGCAGGACAGGTGTGACGAGTCGGGTGATGGGCAGAACCTGAGGGTCAGGGTCTCTCGGGGGCATCGCTTCTCAACCGGGAAAACGTCCTGGCTGTTGCTTCTGTTCACTCATCACACGGGAGCTGCCGGCCGGGTGCCCGGGCCTCCTGAACGGCACGGCTGAGGGCCACGGGGGACGGTGTGCGGACACGGAACCTTGGGAAATGAAGGGAAAACAACATTTTCCAGACCCGAGGGAGGGAAAGGGGGCCCCAGCCGTCGTTCAGAGCTGTCTGGTGCTCACCGAGTCGTCTTGCTCTTCAGGGTGAGGTCTGAGCTTCGCTAGCCGGGAAGGTTTGGGGAACGCTGGGTCCCCCCAGGTGACCCGTCCGTGCTCGGTGCTGCATGACCCAAATGGCGCCGGGCCGCGGCCTGACCCAGGGCCCCGCCCTGTGTTGCAGGGGATTTCTTTAGAGACCCCCTTCCGGAGGCAGATCTGTACATCCTGGCCAGGGTCCTGCACGACTGGGCCGATGACAAGTGTGCTCAGCTGCTGGCGCGAATCGGGCACGTCTGCAAGCCAGGTAGGCGACGTGGTGTGTCCTCGTCCTGGTGTCCATGGGGGACAGTGTCCCAGCTGTCCTCTGAGGTCACCCATCCTGGTGGTCCATGGGGACGTGGGCATAGCTGTTATGACAGGTGCCCTGAGCTGCAATAACAGTCAATACATCCCATCAGTGGGGTTGGTGACTAGTAACAGCTCCGGGTTTCAGATGAGACAACTCTAGCCTGTGAAATTTAAGAGGCCTTCAAAATGGTTCATTGCAAACGGAGCATGGGGCACACTTGTACTAGAATCAATTTGTTGTTTCTCTGAAGTCCGCATTCTCCTGGCTGCCTGTGTTCCGTTTGCTCAGCCTTGCCACCCCCAGGGCCTTCTTGCTTTTTGTCCTCACCCCGTCCTGGCCCCCTGCTGGCTGCCCCGGCCCCAGAACCCGCTCTTTTTCCTGGAAATTTTTGTGGTCCTGTGAGTGACGAGTCGTGTTCAGAGACCGAGGGGTGGACCCCTTCCCTGGACACACCTAGGAAACGCATGGAGGGACTGTCACTCTCAGCTCCTTGTTACTTGGTCGCCAGCATCTTTGTTCTTCACGCATCACGTCGGTCACCAGACTTCCATGGTGACTACAGATGACCAGTAGATGCAGATTTAAATGTAAAACTACCCAGGGGTCAAACATATCGATGTGGGCAGCTGTGAGGACGTGAGGTGGCCGGGGCCGTGGCAGAGCCAGCGTGGCTGGGAGCCTGGAACGGGCCTGGCACACGGTGTGGGCAGCGGGCCCCTCGCTCACGCGCCTCTCCCTGTCAGGTGGTGGCGTGCTGGTCATCGAAAGCCTCCTGGACGCGGACGGCCGGGGCCCTCTGACCACGCAGCTGTACTCGCTGAACATGCTGACGCAGACGGAGGGCCAGGAACGGACGCCCGCCCAGTACTGTGCCCTGTTGGCCTCCGCCGGCTTCCCGGACGTCCAGTGCAAGAGGACTGGTGGCCCTTACGATGCCATCCTGGCCAGGAAGTGACGCCCCTCGCGGAGCAGCTGCGAGCTCAAACGTCGTGCTGAAGACGGGGTCTCGGTTACGCCTGTGGCGTTTGTGGCTCGCCTGGCGAGTGACGGGGTCTCTGGGGACGGCTGGTGGCTGCCTTGTTCTGTTTCGTTTATTTTGTTTCATTTCCTTCTCCTCCACTTCATTGTATCGTATCCTATTCTATTCTATTCTATCCACCACACGTGGATCAGGACGGGACGTCTCTGCGGCCTGCACTTCCTGAGATGACCACCTTTGTCACTGCTCCGTTGTCCCCTGCCCAGTCTGTCCCCCCCAGTCTGTCCGACCCCATGTTTGGATATGTGGGGACGGTCCCTGTGGCATCCCCGACACCTACATTGCTGACAAGGGGGCCCGCTTGTGTCAGTCGTTGGTCCAGGGAGATGCATGCGCCCCTCACCCCAACATCACCAGGGAGGCGGACAACTGGACCCGCCCTTGTATTTTGGGGTTTTCCAGCATTTATTTCTTCCTTTAGTCACTCCAGGAGTCAGGGCAAGATGTTTTGTGGTTTTTTGTTTTTTTACACAAATTTGAATTGTCTGATTCTTGCCTTTAGGATGAAATGGCAATTGCTTATGCATGTATTGATTTTATTAAGATGTGATTGACATATAACATTCTGTTAGCTTTAGGTGTACAACATAATAATTCGATATTTGCGTGTATTGTGAATTGATCACCGAAAGTCTAGTTAACATCCAACACACACATAGTTACAGTTTAGTTTTTTTCTTGCGATGAGAACGTTTAAGGTTCGTTTTGTTAGCACGTTTCAGATACGCAATACAGTAGTTTTAACCAGCATTACCACTCTGCCTGTTCCATAGAATACCCACAATGCTTATTTATTTTACAACTGGAAGTTCGTACCGTTTGATCTGCTTCACCCCTTTTGCCCCCCCCTCCCCGTTACCCCCAACTGCTGGCAACCACTCATCTGCTCCCTGTATCTGCGAATTTGGTTTTTGTTTTTCCAGCTTCCACACATACGTGAGGTCACATGGTATTAGCCATTCTCTGTCTGATTTCTTTCACTTAGCATGAAAATGTGCTTATTTCTTTTATTGCGGCAAAATAAACCTATCCCGAAACTCGCCGTTCTAACCACTTTCACGTGCACAGGTGGGTGGTGGGAAGCCCACTCACACGGCCGCGCACTCGTCCCCGCCATCTACCTCCTGAAGGGCTCCATCCTCCCGGAATGAAACTCGTAGCCCTTACACACACCGGCTCCGCGGCCCCAGCGCCAGCCCCTGGCACACCCACCTCCCAGTACCCAGAGCAGCTGGGCTGGGCAAGGCGCCGGAACCGCAGTCCCCAAGGAGGCTGGCCCGGGACCCCAAGGAGAGGGACCTACAAGTGGAGGAGGGGCCACAGGGATGGGGCGGGGCCACAGGAATGAGGTGGAGCCACAGGGATGGGGAGGGGCCACGAGAATGGGGAGGGGCCACAGGGATGGGGCGGGGCCACAGGAATGAGGTGGAGCCACAGGGATGGGGAGGGACTACGGGAATGGGGAGGGGCCACAGGGATGGGCGGGGCCACGGGAATGGGGAGGGGCTACAACGATGGGGAGGGGCCACAGGGATGGGGCGGGACTATGGGAATGGGGAGGGGCACGGGAGTGAGGAGGAGCCACGGGAATAGGGAGGGGCCACAAGGATGGGGCGGGGCCACGGGAATGGGGAGGGGCCACAGGGATGGGGCGGG